TTGCTAAAAGGGTACTGCCATCAGAACCCAGATGTTAGCAACAGCACAACATAATCATTTTGTCCTCTTGTTGTCTTGCAACTGCACTTACTTAGGGTAGAGTACATGGCATAGACAGTAGCAGATAATTCAAAATCTCACAGGCTTGCAGAAATGTAGCGTCCTAACATTCAGTGTCTATTCAAAACAACAATAGGCCAGTATTTTTGAAATAAATGTGCTCGAAAGGAGTAGAACATGCTCCAAATATATGTAACATCCAGATGCTGTGGCTTATGAGATAATATGTATAAGAACTTCCAAGCCTGTGGTTAATCTTTGTTATTGGAATTCATTTTCTACACCGAAGCCTGAGGTTTTCAGAAGATTCTGAAGACATTTGGGACTAATTGGCTATTTTATGATAAAGAGAAACAGATTGTATCAGGGAAAGTCAAGGACATAGCCCTGAAATTATAAACAAACAAAAAAACAGGAGAAGGAAAAGCTCCAAATCTTACTTTGTTTGGGGTTTTCCATTTGCTGGAAAAAGAAAGATAATATCTTACAATGAATATATTGGAATTAGATGATGAAAGAGAGGGAGGGGAGAGGAGGGGAAGGGGGAGAGACGGAGAGAGACAGAGAGGTAAATATCACATAGAAATAGTGGCAGACATTGTTATATCTTCTAAAAGTTTGAGCTACCCTGCTTCGCACTGAATTTGGAAATTCACTGAACTTAAAACTAGTTTTAGGAAGTTGATTTCTGTGCATTCCATCTGAATTTGGCATTGTAAAATCTGGAATCCATCAGTTCCTCTCACATATTATCTGTTCACACTTCACAACAATGTGAAGCCACAGCTGCCTATTCTTTAGCTGGTGTTCACCTTCGTACACACTGAGTTCTTCCAAAGAACTAGGATGATGTAATATATTAACATAGTACATATATATAGATAGATAGATAGATAGATAGATAGATAGATAGATAGAGTGTGGCCTTTTATTATTGCTTTTTAAATTAAAAATAAATAAAATGGTGTCTGTAAAACCAATAGCTAGTTTTTGCCTGCCCTTGGGCCCCCACAGGCATCCTTAAAAAATAAACACGGTGGCAGGCTGTATTTCAGAACTTATATGGCAGTTGCAATTAATTCTGATGAATTACAAAGAGCAATTGTCTTAATCTTCTAGATATTCTTGAAACAGAAAATTTCTGATCTGGAGCTTTCAATAGGTTTAGGGTATTTTACCCTAAAAAATTTAGGGATGTGCAAAACTTCAAAGCTACTACTGAAATAATTACACAAAGGCTGGAAATGTTTCACAAATGTATAAAGAAATGAAAGAAAATGTTTAAAAAGTCATATGAAAAGCTACAGGTAAGACTTGTGATAAGTAAAGGAGAATGTTCAAGAAGAAAAGGTCCATTAAAAAAGAGTTGTTCTAACAGAAGTAATTTCAGAGCCCAAATGTTTTTTCAATGCAGAACAAAATCAATTGTAATCAATTACACACAACCTGAAATATAAAGATGGAAACAACAAATCCTGTTGCTTTCTGTGGGAAGCCATGGGAATGGCCTTGGAGAAGGCATCCAGAAGCTTTTAGGACAGCCGTAGATACAGACGAAGCATATGCTAAGCTCAAGAAGACAGGGAAATCTATGAAAGAGAGTCTGGCTGAATGGATAAATGATGGTCATATAATAACTAAAATATACAAATTGTTATTAAGATTTGATAAAGAGGACAAACAAAGACTATAAAGTGAAGAAAGACCATAAAGTGAAATGTGGTACAAACTTTGGTTATAACGTACTGTAAATATGGGTATATGGGAGAAAATGTGGGAAACTGGTGTCAAATTTACCTTGTGTTGTAATTTAAGAGAACTTGAATACAATGATATACCAATGGTATATGACACCAGCCAAACCAGCAGAAATGTAAAAAAGAATATCAATTCAGTGTTGAAAGTGTGAAAAGAAAGAGAGGGATTTTTATCAAGTAAGATGGATTTGTGAGAAAGCAAAGAGATTTGGTGCAAATCCATACAATGAAGCAAAAGATATTGGAGACAGAATCACGAAACCAGAATTATTCCTAGTGGGTTTGGTAGACATGCAGTTAGAAAAGAATAATAGCTAATTTGGAGCATCATGAGAAAAGTGCACACCAAAGCCAAAATGGCTAAGCTACCCCACACAAATAATACTTACGGTACCTATATATCAATCTTTTCACTTGTACTTAGCATATATTTCTTTCTTCTCTTACTTTCCAATTCTCCTTTGGGAGATGCATTGCTATATGGAGTCTGCTTTCTGGTAGTCCTTAGCTACTTTTTATTATTGGAACTGAACTCGTAAAGTGGGTGAGGAAGCCCTGCATGGAGAAATTGCTGAGACCAAGATGGTTGTTGAACATCAAAACCTGTTGTCTCTCATTCCAGGATGCATGAAACAGAATCATGGATTTAAAGTACAAGAAGGAAGGTTTTGATTCCTAACAGCAATAGCAATTTGACAGTGGAACCACTTACCAGAGATATGGGGGCATCCATTTCATTGGTTCTGCTTGTCTTCAAGCAGAAGTTAATCAAACAAATGTTGGAATGCTTTAATCTGGACTTCTGTACTGAACAGGGAGTGTGAAGTAATAGCCTAAATATCGTATTCTAGCTCTAGGATTTTCAGTTGCCTATGTCCCCATTACATGCCTCTGTCTTAAAAATAAATTTGTTCCAAAAATAACCCAAAAAATTACAGGGGAATTGCGATAAGATTAATGGCATTCTTTGGGATGAGAATTGTAAAAAACTTTGGCCTCATGACAAGTTTACCCTCAAGGGTACATAGTTATAGGAAATGATCATTCACAAAGTAACAGCATCCTGCTAATTAGCTAGAGTAGATGCAATTACATATTTGCTCCCTAAAATAATAACACCCAGATGCAGAAAGGTATGGATTTAAGCAGTTGCCTTGATAACCCAATTCATCTCATTTGCACGTACATTTTTACGCATTTGCTATATGATAAAACAGTTTGCACACTTTGCCAGATTGTTTGTCAAAGCATTATTGTCAGTCTGTTCAATCTATCTGTATTTCTTTGTCATTTAGAGGTTACGAGCTGATTTTATTTTTAGCCACACTAGAAATAATATTTTGCTTCAACGCCTGCTGTATTGCTTCATCATGGTGGGGAATGAACAGGGGTGGGGGAAGGTTCTTGGGAGGGATGAGCAAAGAATTCTGGGAATGTACACCAGGAGAATATACTTCAAGCAGGGTCATCCCAGTTGTCCAGCTAAAGCAAGCAGGCACCTATATTGGCCAGTAGCAATATAAGAAGATGCTGGAGGTAAATGATAACTTCACTGACAATGGCAAAGGCTCACATTTTTATTGTGCAGAAGGCTTTTTTTTTTTTACCAAGAAAACCACATAGACAGAAAATATTTTAAAAATCGGGTAAATCTAATTTTACCTTTTTAAATGCTGTCTAGAGAAGCCCTGTGGTGAGATGGGTGGCAAATTAATTTAACAAAAAAAAGAAAAGAAAAGAAAGAAACTTGCAGAGAGCATCCTTAGAGAGTCCAGTGGATTGTGGGCAGGAACTATACAAATTTGTCTTGTAGTAAAAGTGTATTTGGCCATACCCATCATGTCAACAATTCGTGAGTATGCTTGTAACATGTTGTCCAAACCTAAAATGCCAGCAGTGGTCCAAAGAGCTGACAAATTCTACAGTGAAAAAGAAAAAGAGAGCAAGATTAATTGTGTCATTCATTACTTGAGCTCGGTAGCTGTGTTGCCCCTTTAAAAGTCCAACTGAGAAATGGCAAAGGGCAAACTTCCAATTCTCTGTCTCTACATCTGTTTTCTGTCTCACCTGGCAAGATAGAGAAATATAGGAGAAATATAGGTGGTGATATGGCTAGAATAAATGGCCAGCATTGCTTGCTACATCTTTAAGAACAATCGCCAGCATCCCAATTTTGAGTAAATTACCCTATTTCAGAAGAGCTCCATCCTAGTTCATCATCATCATCTTCATTTAACAAGCCCATAATCCCTTGCAAGTTTGAGTCTGGGCAACTGAATGGAGCTAGCAGAGTGTTTATTGGCTGGATGCCCTTCCTGTTGCCAATGTGGAGTTTTGTTCAGCAGATACATTTTCAGTGTGCCCAGAGAGAGAAATATCTGCCTCTACCTAGGATTGAACTCACAGCCTCCTGATTGTGAGGCAAGAGCTCCACCTCTAGGCCACTGCACCACTCCAGAGCTCCATCCTAGTTGCCCCATATTAAATGGCTGACATGGAGGTGACAAAGTGAGGGACACATCCCACAAGGAAACAATGGAGCTAGGAACGTTGTTGTGCATTGTAAGGTTGCAGAGAGACCACAGGATTACCATCAGTAAAGTTTTATCTTGACATATTGCTCCACAACTATGGCACAGTTATACCTTTTTTTAAAAAAAGAAGTAACTGGCAACCGTGCACTTATATAAAGTACATTTAGAGCTGCACCCAAGAAAAACAATGTCAATCATTATTGCAAATAAAATCTGCAACAATCTGTATCGGATTCATTTTTAGTCAGAACCATGATGCAATGAGTATGGGAAGCTTTTTCATATTAAAAAAAAAATGTGCTGCATCTTGACCATGAGACACATTTTAAACCAGAAGGGTATAAAGCTAAAAATCACGAGAGAAGTAAAAACTTGAAGGATGTAAACAAAAAAAGAAAAGGAAAAAAATAGAAAAAAGCATGATGATTGAAGTTAAATATTGCATGCCACTTCCTCCTCAGAAAAGACACCCCCTGGGGTCATATTGGAGTCATATTAACATATAATGAAAATTATATCTCACCATTACCATTTAGAAGCCTTACATACACTCTCAGTCTAGTTTAAATTAATTAAATTTAATTTCTGAATGAAACCACTACACTGTGACATGCCAAAGAAAGATATGCCATTTCTTTTTTTGCTAAAATAGTTGTTTTATTTCATTTCAGAGAGGGAGAAAAATTGGAATTACAACTTCAAGCTATTGGCACTGCTACAAAAGACTTAAAAGGTCTGATCATTAGGATGATCTCTTGGCACTAGAATAGAAATATGCATTGTAAGTTATTTAAAATGTCTGCTGATTGCAAAGAAGTTGATGCTATTATTTGCTACTTGTAAGGGTGAAGACCCTATGGTTCTCCAGCAGTGTTAGACTCAGACTCCCATTGTCCACAGTCAACATGGTAGGAAGTATATGTCCAATGGTCCCACTCTTTCAGCTTTCTCAGAAGTGTTCATCCAAATCCCCAACATTGACCATTAAACATTTCAGTTGCATATAGGTAGTGAAATACAATCAAAAGGACAGCCTGAAATGACAAAATGCAGATCTACACTGAGATGGAGGCCTGAAGATGACCTTGTATTCCTGCAACTCAGCAGCAACAATGAAAAGGAGGGAGAAGTGTTAACAGAAGACAAGTATGGGGTATCTTTGGGCAAGATTTTAACAATTCTATACAACTTTTCCCAGAAGGATTAAGACTTTCAAAAGAAAGTCCTTCGTGCGGTTTTTGTCATGGCTAATGTTTTAAAACAAAGCTTCATATAAGTAGTTTATTGAAGCGGAATTGACATTTATTAGCAAACCTACTCTAAAAAGCTAAATTCTCTTGGTATAATCTCTTTGCACAACTTAGGCTGCCATAAAGAGTATCAATATGAATAAGGAGAAGGGGACAAACCCTTTAAAATTGATCAAATTTTCCACTTGCCAATTGTAAAAATAGTATGTGTTTCCCAGATAACAACTTTTAGAATTTATTTGCCTTCTGGTGTTTTTTTTCTATTAGAAAAGGCCCATTAAAATCTTAATTTTTCTTAATATGTGGAGTCCTGATAATCTTCACATTCACCTCATTCTTCTTTATAACTACAGGGTAATTTGGATTATATTTCTTTCCTAACACAACCTAAGAATTGTGGGATTCAGTTTTTTTTTTTTAATATCCTTTCGCGCAACTTGTTTATGTATATAGAGAAAATATTTGTGGCTTTCTAGACTGAAAGAACTGTATACAAACGATTATGACGAGCATCTAATAAAACCAATTTGGCCATTCAAAGAAATAAAAATGTTTGTCAATGTAATTCACAGATAGGTGTTTGTGAATATAATATACCTTTCTTTTCCAAGCATTTGTACTCCTGCACAGTGCAAGAGGCAAGAAAACAAGAAGGGAAGAAAAAACAACAACTAACATTGGCTACTCATAGTAAACAATAAAAGGCAACGTGCAATAGTGCAATTTCTCTTTTGCTGCTTCAAGAAAGCAAGTCTTTTAATTTATACAAGTCTGTGGATTAGTTTTGGCCTCAAGGTATTTTCCATCTCAGTTGCGCCTTTGTCGTGGATTGGTGCTTCTCCCAGATTTGGGAGCAGAATCACTTTGTCCAGGTTCATTTCTGCCTTTGACAGGATGACGGAGTTTCTGGTCCCAGCGCTGTAAGATTAAAAAGAAAAGGTGAGACTGCCACAAGGGCAGTTCAAATTTCTTCCTAAAGACGTTGATTGTCTCATCTTTTAATAAAAAGCGATTAGCCATTTATAACAGAATTATATTTCTATATAACATACAATTATGTGCAATGATAAATAAGCTGTCATTGCATCTTTCACTGTATTTGTTGTGGGATTGATATGCAAAATTAATGGCCACATCCCAGTTCAAATAATTACGTTCTAATTATCTGTTATTATGCATATCTATTTATCTACCCTCTTTGCTGGAATACCAGCTCAACATTTGGGGCCCTCAAGAGAAAGGAGCAAAATTATCTCTTTCAGAGGTACCAGTTTTTATTTTTGGTATCCTCAACGTGGCTGCTGAGATTATAAGAGGGGAAATCTAAACATCTGGAAAGCATTAGGTGGTGAAAACCTGGGGTGGATCATTCAGTACTAATAGCTGCTTTATTTTAATAATCCAACTTGGGGAAACTGTGTTAAAAACTTCTCTATTTATTTAGCATATGGCAAAAGCATGGACCTATATTGCTTCAAATGTTAATGCCCGGTGGTTTATGTTGAAAAAAATCAGACATTGGGCCAGTGTAAACTCTTAACGGACATTTGGGTACAATGTGATGGATATATACCATCTCTATCTATTGGACCGGATGGAATATGTGCCTACTTCTTAAAAAAGCTATCCACTGCTATAGCTGAACCTCTAAGCATAATCTTTGAAAAATCTTTCAGGACCAGCTCCTTGCCAAACCTATGGTCACAAGCCACAGTCATCCCCATCCTCAAAAAGGGAGAACCCAGCCTAGCTGAAAATTACAGACCAATCTCCTTATGCTCTGTCACCTGTAAAGTCATGGAATCAATTATTAACCAATCCATTATCCTCCACTTGATGACAAACAACCTACTCTCCAATAAACAATTTGGTTTCAGGAAAAAACTATCCTGTAATCTGCAACTCTTACACTGCAAAAACATATGGACTACACAACTCGATCAGGGCAAAGCAATAGGTGCAATCTACATAGACTTCTGTAAAGCCTTTGATTCAGAGGTACACGACAAACTACTCCTAAAACTAAAATCTTATGGTATTTCTGGACAACTGCATAACTGGATAGAAGCATTCCTGCCAAACAGACAACAAATGGTCAAAATTGGGAGTGTCCTATCAAATTCTGTACCTGTCAATAGTGGTGTCCTCCAAGGCAGTGTTCTAGGACCAACTCTCTTCATACTCTACATAAATGACCTCTGTGATCATATTAAGAGCAACTGTGTTCTTTTCGCTGATGATGTAAAGCTGTTCAATACCACAGACAATACTGCTACCCTTCAAAAAGATCTTGACTATGTATCAGAATGGTCAAACAAAAGGCAACTTCAAATCTCAACAAATAAATGCTCTGTCTTACATATTGGCAAAAAAAATCAGAAAATAAAATACAAACTGGATAGTCAAGATCTTGTTGATGATCTAAGCTCTGTAAAGGATCTTGGAATACTCATCTCTAATGATCCAAGTGCTAGAGCCCACTGTAACTACATAGCCAAAAAGGCATTAAGAGTTGTTAACCTAATCCTACGTAGCTTTTTCTCTGGTAATATCACACTACTAACTAGAGCATACAAAACATTTGCTAGACCAATACTCGAATACAGCTCATCAGTCTGGAACCCACATTACGTATCTGATATTAGCACAGTTGAGAAAGTCCAGAAATATTTCACAAGAAGAGTTCTCCACTCCTCTACTTGTTGTAGAATACCTTATGCCACCAGACCTGAAATTCTAGACCTAGAAAACCTTGAATTACTCTGTCTTCGGTCTGATCTAAGTATGGTATATAAAATCATACATTGCAATGTCCTATTTGTCAATGAATATTTCAGCTTCAACCATAACAACACAAGAGCACACAATAGATACAAACTCAAGGTTAACTGCACCAAACTTGATTGCAGGAAATACAACTTCAGCAACAGAGTGGTCAATGTCTGAATACTCTACCTGACTCTGTAGTTTCTTCCCCAAACCCCCAAAACTTTAACCTTAGACTGTCTACTATTGACCTCACCCCTTTCCTAAGAGGTCTGTAGGAGGCGTGCATAAGCGCACCAATGTGCCTAACGTCCCTGTCCTATTGTTTCTTTTATTTTTCTTATATGTACCCATTTTATGTATTCATAACTATGTATATACTTATACCTATTATCTTATAAGCAATTGACAAATCAAATAAATAAATAAATAAAAATAAAATAAATAAAAATAAAATAATAAAATAAAATAATAAAATAAAATAATAAAATAAAATAATAAAATAAAATAATAAATAAAATAAAATAAAATAAAATAAATATTGTTGAGTCACACTGAGGGGTAGAGACATTGCCCCACTTAAACAATGAGTCCTGGAAACACCATGTTTGGTATGGATCCTGTTCAGAGTTGACCAATGGAAGGTCAAAACCTGTCACCTTTTGTTGACTGTCTGTCAACTATGCTAACTGTATCTGGGTGTTCAGCAGCCCATTTGGCTTTCCATTGTGTGTTGATGTCAAAGTTGTTAGACATCTGTTGAGCGAGTGCCAGAGTGGGCTTCCTGGATTTAAGCCTGCCAATTGATAGATGAGGAAGATCAACATGCACAGGAAGAAGTGGGTTTCTCATAATTTATTGTACTTCTTCACTAAGGTTTCCTGCCTTCGTAGAGCTGGTGGTGCAATGTGACTCAAGATGGGGAGCCAGCAAGTAGGAATAGATTTTATGCAAACGCTCATGATCCTCATTGTATCATTTAGTCTAGCATTGAACTTGCTTCCCATCTTGATCCTCTTAGTTTCTGGAGTAAGTTGTTCCTGGTATAATATTAGGCCATCTTAGGGATCTTATTAATAGAAATGAATTAGTGAATACCAGCATAAGACGACACAGGTTGAAAAGTGCCTTGCAGTGAATTTATTTTTCAAATAAAAACTAAATGAAGTCAACTGTAGCCACACTGGAGAAAAATAAAAACAAGCAGAGAGACAAATACAAACACAAACCTCCACTGACATAAAGTGAATACAAAAATTGGACAAGAAATGACAAGGATGGACAAACTATAGCAATCCTCTTATTTTTCAATCATCCAGTATCCATTTCTACTTGTGTTTCCTTCATCTGCTCTCCTTCCTCCTGGAATTCTGGGTGTCAAAATATAAATATCCTAAACTCAAATACATAATACTGTAAATAAAGGTAAAGGTTCCCCTTGCACACACATGCTAGTCATTTCTGGCTCTAGGGGGCGGTGCTCATCTCCGTTACAAAGTTGAAGAGCCAGCTGTCTGAAGATGTCTCCATGGTCATGTGGCCGGCATGACTAAACGCCAAAGGCACATGGAACGCTGTTACCTTCCCACCAAATTGGTCCCTATTTTTCTACTTGCATTTTTTCATGCTTTTGAACTGCTAGGTTGGCAGAAGCTGGGACAACGGAAGCTCACTCTGTTACATGCTGCTAGGGCATGTAAGCACCAAACTGCCAACCTTTCTGATCGACAAACTCAGCATCTTAGCCACTGAGCCACCTGTAAATAGCACGAGGAAAATGCAGGTATTCTGAAATGAAGGTCTTCAATAAATTAGAAATAATATCCTAAAACTTGCAAGATAATCAATAGCACAGGGAGGACAATCTCCTTTTTCAGCCCATTTGCTATTTTTTAGTAATACTCAATACTTTCTTGAATAAAAATTTGCAGAATAATGTTCTGAAAAGAGCAGAAAAGAGTAAAAAATAAGCCAGAAATTAAATGTATAAGATAAAAGAAGGAAATATAGGGCAAAATCTAATTGATACAAACACCGTTCTCCATACTTTTCTACTTTTGCAAACAGCTTGGTTCCACATTGCCTTCACTTTTATTTTCATTCTATTCATTCTGCTGGATGCTCCTTGTTTACTTTAGTCACTCATGATCAAAGCATTTTTTTTATTGCTCTGCATTTTCTCTGGCCCTTTTGAGCCTAACTTTTTCATGTATCAATAGAAGAGAATATATGTAGCTTGTGGTTGAATAGTGGAGTCCAAGATGCTCTCTGAACTTGTTTGGTTGGTTGCTTGCAGAGATTTCATTATCCAGCTAAGTAACATCTTCAGTGGGGTTTGCTCTTTGTGTGTGTGTGTGTGTGTGTGTGTGTGTTACCCTATAAATGTTGGTTGAATTGTTGTCTTTTCTTTGGTAATTTCTTGATTAGGGCATTGTTTACTGCTTGTTTGTGTGCTGTTGATCCTGGTGTTAATTCCTGCTTATCTGGATGTTGATTGCTGGAGAGGAGGTCTTCTTAGCTTTTTGTTTCTTTTTTAGATTTTTTTATAATCTCTTTTGAATGAAGCGTAAATGTGGTTTATCTTTAATAAACTTCTTGATGGCCAATTTATTTGGCTGTACATTTTACTGTACATTCAACAGTATTTGCTTTTTATCTTTTTAATCAAAGTGCCTCAAAGCTACCACAGCCCACCTGGGTGCCATCACATACACTTTTGTCTAAAATTGTTCGTAAATGGAAATTTTTGGAGGACTTCATTCATAACTGAGAGTTTTAAGTTGTTAAGCAATTGTAATGTTGGAGGTTAGATATTTAGAAAGAAGAAAATGCAAAAAAAATTTGGTCACAGAGAAAACCAGATATAATGTTATGTTTCCAGGCCACCTTGACCTAAGAAGTGATCAATACTATTAACAAACACAGACTGCAAATGGAAAGTTAACTCTTATCAAACAATAAATTGAAACAAAGATTTGAACTTTCTGCTGCCTGTTTTTTTAACAAATCATTTATGACATGTCAGAATAATTTTTCAAAACATTTTTGACTTATGTATGCTATTTTAAGGACAAGATATGTAACTATGCTTTACAGATGACTTCCTTCTAAGGCAGAGATGGGGAACAAGGACACCTTTATGACTTGTGGACTTCAATTCCCAGAATTCTGAGAGTTGACATTGACAAGTTATAATAGGGCCATTCACCCCCACCCAGCCCTGTTCTAAGGCATTTCTGGTGCCACATGTCTCTTGCTACCATACATGAACATGACTGCTAAGTATTAAAAAGTGAGCGATTGTTACAAGAATGACAACATTTCATATCAAGGACAATAAGTCCACAATGACAGAGTTTTTCAGAAAACAAATATCAGCCATATTTTCTTCTTAGAAAGCACCCCAGTAAGAGATTGGTGTTGGTAACCAGTATACGTGGCTGAAGGCTTTATGTTGAAATGAATATGACGGCTACATGTTCAAACACTGATAAATCAGCATGGGAAAGTGGACTGTAACATTTCCTTCTTTCAGCAGTGAGAGTAAGAAATAATCTATGTTGCATAGCAGATCAGTTTGAAACCCTGTTATGCAAAGTGAATCTCTGGACATAATGTCATACACAAAGCTCAAGTGAAAGAGCTCACACCATTGTTCTCCTCACATTGCCAATTTGAAAGGATTTTCCTGGATTCAAAATAACCTCCCATAAGCCGAGAAAGAGCAGGAGTACATTCAAAGCTCAGCATGTTCTCTTCTAGTGTCCCCTCAGACATGTACTTAAAAGTTCTTGACTTAATACTCTCTTAACCCCCGTCGAGATGGATTGAGTGGGCTATTGTTTTGTGTTTTGGCAGCAGTTTTTAAAAAAAAGGAGAAGAGGAGGAGTAAAGACAAAGGAAGCTTTAGCAGTAGTGCTGACAAGATCTCCACAGCCTGTAGATATGGCCAATTCTCAACAGAAGGATAAGCAAACTGTGTCAGGGGTATTGCTTTCTTTTTTGACACTTAACTATTTTGAAAAGCTTGAATTGGGCTGATACCATTGCAGAAGGAAGTCTACAATCAGTGAATATTTCTGTGGAGCCATTTTCTTTAAAAAATGTAGTGATTAGGGCTTTTAGCAGGATAGAGACAACTCTGAGCAAATTGCCTTCTAGGAACAATTGTGCTATGTGAGGCTATAGCAAGTATCAGTCATTTCACTTCTGAAAAAAAATAATAATCCAAGAGTACCACAGAGCATATATGGTTCCTGCTCCATCTTCAACCTCAAAGCTCCCTATGAAACCAAGAAGCTGACCATGCTTGGAAATTGGTTCCACATTTTTACAGAAAAAAAACAACACTATTCTGGATCAAAATATTATCATTACTCTGAAATCAACATTTAATCCCACTGGTACCACTCTGTAACGTTTAGATCTTAAACTAGAAATGTTTAAGATATTAACATGACCAGAGGTGGTATTCAGCAGGTTCTAATCAGTTCTGGAGAACCGGTAGCGAAAATTTCAAGTAGTTTGGAGAACTGGCAAATACCACCTCTGACTGGAGATTTTACAGTATCCTTCCCCTGCCACACTCATCACTGAACATGACCCATAGTTCTTCAACAATACCTTCCAATTTGTTGCCAATATTACAAAATGAATGATCTACACCATGGATGGTATCAATAGTATTCAGTAACTGATGTCAACTACATTTGTTTTTGGGTTTTTTTCCCCTACACATTCTGTAATTCTTTAAAAAGATCTGGAAAATATCTTGTTTCTGTTGCTTCATTGCTCTAGCATTTATCACTGCACATCTCATTCTGTCACTGACATTCCATTCTAGCAAATGTTGTCTTCATTGGTCATAATACATACTTCTCGTTTTTCTGTTCATATTAACATGGGGTACATCACTAAGCACAGACAATTGATATGCAGGTAGTCCTTGACTTACCACCATTTGTTCATCAACCCACGGCCTTCCCCACCTTCTGAGACATCCCATGCTCCTCATATGAGAAGAGTCAGGATTGCATGGATGTCTTGCTTCATTACTGCTACAACCTGTGACCATAATTCTAGTCTCCATTGTGGCCGTATATGGAGGACTACTTGTAAAGAGTTGTGATGAAAAAAATCCTAAAGGAGAGCAAACCTGTTCCCAAAATGCTGTCCCTAAAATTTAATCATGCTACATAATTATCTTCTTTACTCATTTTCTGTAACACGTTTAATATTTTTACATCATTCTTTATAGTGTAATTCTTCAACTCTAGTTTGGATTGCCTTGGCTTATGTATTCATTTACAAATTTTGGAATTTGTTTTGGCATGGGAGACACTTGGTATAATGAAAGGGCATTCAGTATTATATAGAAAAAAATATCCCTCTGTGGGGAAAAGGAGTTGCCTGAGGCTGTATTCTCACGTAACAACATATAATCACATATAACAACATATAATCAAGGTCCAAGGTGATTAAGCAGTTAATTAAATTTGTCTTACCTTCACTTTTTTACGGAGACGATCCTTCCATTTCTCAGCTATGGAGCCTTCCACTAAGAGTAGTCTTTGCATTTTAAAGAAAAAGAACAACAACGTTTAGATATGAGAGGCAAAATAGCTTAGCTTAAGAAGAAAGAGAAAGCTTTATGTTTAAGGAGTGTATGCAGATTTATTAAGGGCCACTACAACTTCCACTTAAGTCCCATAGCAACAGCCAACTTCTCCCATTTGTAGAAATGTTTGTTAATACAATCTATACTCGTGGAAAGAAAGCTAGCTATGTATAAATACAGTAAGTATCCAAGTACGAATAGTAAGTAATACTACAGTAGTTTAGTTGCATCCTGCCTTAACTATTCTGAATTTTAAAAGATGCAAGAAAAAATGCAACTCTCCACAGTAATACACATTGATAGATTTTAAGGCATTCTTAGAAATAGAACAATTTTCACGGGTGGCTTTGTTTAATTTGTGACTCCAACATACCAAACTTTACAATCAATTTACCAAAATTTAAGGTGCTACAAGACTGTTTTAGGATAAAATTAGGCAGAGCTGTAGATCTTTGAAATTAGATAGCCCTTGAACTGATGTAATGTGACAATTTGAAGGACTGGCAGAGCCTGTGGGACGAGTTAAAAGAGGGATCCGTTTAGAATCACTGTGGAATAGACACAAGCTAACTAAGTCCACCCCTCACACTCTCTTTGACTCATATCTAGTTCTAACCATTAGTTGAGAAGATTCCTATAGATAAGCTTTTACAATAAATCAGTTAATTTGGATCTTATATGTGGAACTGGTTTTTTTGTGCTTGTCACAATTTTAGCCTTGGGAAAAGATATGAAATGTTTAAAATCAGCTAATATCACATTTATTCCTTGCATTTGAAATTAAAGTAACCTCACAACAAAATCTGATGCAATGGACCAGGCACAGAGATTGACTTGACCAAATCTATACAGTGTCTGATTCTGAAACATGAATTCCAACCAAGATCCATTTTTTTTCAGAATTTTCAGATTAACAGAGTTGGAAGGGACTTAATGTAGGCCACCTAGTCCAATCACCCACCCAAGCAGGAGACCCTACACCATTTCTGACAAATGGCAGTCCAGTCTCTTCTTGAAAGCTTCCAGTGATGGAGCTTCCACAACTTCTGAAGACAAGCTGTTCCATTGGTTGATTGCTCTCAGTGTCAGAAAATTTCTCCTTATTTCCAGGTTGAATCTCTCCTGTTGAGTTTCCATTCATTATTCCTTGTCTGGCCTTCAGGTACTTTGGAAAATAGCTTGACTCTTTTCTTTCTGTGGCAACCCCTCAAATATTGGAACACTGCTATCATGTTTCCCCTGGTCCTTCTCTTCACTAGATTAGCCATGCCCAGTTCCTGTAACCTTTCTTCATATGTTTTAGCCTCCAGTCCCCTAATCATCTTGGTTGCTCTTCTCAGCACTCTTTCTAGAGCAGGGGTCTTCAAACTTGACAGTTTAAAACTTGTGAACTTCAACTCTCAGAATTCCACCTCCAGTCATGTTAGCTCAGGAATTCTGGGAGTTGAAGTCCACAAGTCTTAAACTTGCCAAGTTTGAAGACTCTTGTTTTAGAGTCTCAACGTTTTTATAGTGTGGTGATCAAAACTGGATGCAGTACTCTAGGTGTAGTCTTACTAAGGCTTTAAATAGTAGTATTAGTTAATTATGGATGCAGTACTCTAGGTGTAGTCTTACTAAGGCTTTAAATAGTAGTATTAGTTAATGTTAATACAACTTAGGATTGCATTGGCTTTTTTGGCTGCCGCCGCACACTGTTGGTTCATATTTAATTGGTTGTCCATTAAGACTCCAAGATCCCTCTCACAGTTACTGCTATTAAGCCTGGTTTCACCCAGTCTATATGTGTACTTTTGGTTTTTGTTCTCTAAGAGTAAGACTTCATTTTGCTCTCCATTGAATTTCATTTTGTTAGATAGGGCCCAGTGTTCAAGTCTATCAAGATCTTGAGACTATCATCTACAGTGCTGACTATTCCTGCCAGTTTAGTATCATCCGCAAATTTGGTAAGTTCCCCTTCTATTCCCTCATCTAAGTCATTTAAGAAGATATTGAAGAATACTGGGCTTGTGAATCTGTCATTCAAGATCTGTTGATAGCCTATTGCACTTGTTCCCTCTCCCCAGATGTGCTAGAACTGCAACTTCAAGAATTTCCAACCAGAAAAATGCTAGCTGAGAATACTGGAAGTTCAAGACCTTACAGTTCAAAAGGTTGCAGAGTAGGAAACTGTGACCAGAGGTGGTATTCAGCAGGTTCTGACCAGTTCTGGAGAACCAGTAGTGGAAATTTTGAGTAGTTCGAAGAACCAGCAAATACCAACTCTGACTGGAGATTTTACAGTATTCTTCCCCTACTATGCCCACCAAGCCACGCCCACATAACCAGTAGAAAAAAAAATTGAATCCCACCACAGACTGTGACCATTGGTTACAACTTAAATGATCGATCGATCAGGTTGGGTCGTCAACCAAGGACCACAACTGAGGAGGCTGAGATCTGCAGAATGGGAGATAATGCACCACACAGGTACAGGACTGGTTTGGGGAGAATGTGAGGTTTGCTTTTGGGGAAATTCTATGGTATACCCATTTTAAAGTTTCTTTACAGTGATAGGAAACTGTGCTAACAGTCTTCACCATGTATGGTCACAAGGAGTGCAAACTCCACAAAACAAGGGTTTGGGAACTGAGGTTCAGGAACTGTCAGAGGCCAGCATCCAACAAGACAAGTAGATTACAGCAAGCCAATGAGTGAGTCAGAACTGTGGTCTAGACCACTGAAAGCTTTGGCAAGCTTGGTTATTGCAAAATGCCAGCTGTCTACATTAGCTGAATAAAAATCATTTGATGAGATCCGAGAGGTTGTTCTTGGTGCCAATTACCTTCTTCAACAGGGGTTGTTTTCTATTATTAAATGCTGATTACCAATTCTTATTGCACATGCTTCCAAGAAATGTCTCCATGAAGTAACCTGGGCATCCTTAATTCCAGGCACCATTGAGTAGATGGGAATTTTAAAATCAAGCTACAGACACAAAGCAGTATTTTTCTAGACAACTAGGAATGCATTTAACAAAACTCTGAATAATGATCATCTACCATTTTTATTTTGCAAGAAAGCTAATGAATTCCAAAAACACTCTTGCAAATAAAGGTGGAGTATTAAAAAATATCAGATAAACTTTAACTTTTATAAAAATATAAAGGTGGTGAGGGAATCAAGAGGCCCAAAATATGTTCATTTGTTTAATGAAGACATATATAAACAAAATCTATTCTACATGAAAACTCATGAGACAAGCGCTTCTGTTTACTAACTTCCTCAAAACTATGCCAAGTTTATTCACCAGAGATGCAGCTTTTCCCTTCTTCTCCTTTTTTAAAACCTCTTTTTCATTCAAAACATTAAATCTCCCATAAAACAACTTGTTTTTGATAATATCTGGTCCACAATCAAGATATTTCTCTTTTGGTTTCCTAATTTTACTCAGTTAACTGTGTTTTGGTGGAACTAATTAAAGAGGAGCCCATTATTACCTAGAACGTTCCTCATCTTCGTAGCCCATGATGATATATTCTTCATTAGCGTTAAGCGGTGGGCAAAGACAGCCAGAGTTTGCATATAAATTGACTGTGTCCCTGGGAATGTTCACCAACGAAGATTTTAGAATTTCTTTTACTTCAACCACTGCAGTGACATCATGACATTTGGTCTTTACTTCCTTAACTTTAGCCCGAATAACTGAAGAAAAAGAAGAAGGACAGAGGTTAAAATAAGGACATCTAATGCATCTTCCAAAATATTTTGTTCTTTTCGATCCCAGAGAAAAAACGTTCTTTTAAAAAAAGTTGAAAATTAATAATTGAAAACAGAGTAAAAGCATTCTTATTTCTTAAAACATTAAGCATGAAGGGTAGTTTTGGCACTTGATTATTATTAGTGATGAAGAAAACAATAGTAGCCTTCTTGAAATAAATTTTATTCTTTTTATTTCTTTTCTAGAGGAGTGCTGCATCTGTATCTAATGCTTCTGAAATTTCCAAAATGCATTTGGTTGATCTTGTTCCCACCCAGAAAGCTACTTATTCTTAAAGGTTTCAGGCGAAAATGTAGGAATACCAAGTTCAAATTCCACTAAGCTTCAAAACTTGTTGATTGACCTTGGGATGATCAATCTTTTTGACAGCCTGAACTACCTAAAATGGCTGCTTTGATCATGAAAAAGGTGAGGGAAGAACTTGAGCTCTTTAAAACTCACTTTCAGCAGACATTTTTTGATCCCCAACCAGAGATGGTATTCAGCAGGTTCTGACCAGTTCTGGTGGAAATTTTGAGTAGTTCGGAGAACCGGCAAATATCATTTCTGACTGGAGATTTTACAGTATCTTTCCCCTGCCATGCCCACCAAGCCATGGCCACAGAACCAGTAGTAAAAAAATTTGAATCTCACCGCTGTCCCCAACAGCTGCCTGCCTTTGGAGATAGCAATTGGCTAAAGTAGCTGTCCAAGAACCCCTTTCTGTGAAATCATTTCTGCTTTCCTTTAATCTCTTCTTCAAAAGTTATTTTTTGTCCTCATGCCACACTTACCATAGTTGTAATTGTTCCGAAGATAAGTCTTCTGGGTAGCTTTTATAGGCTTGCATTTGCAGCGCTCTAGAAAACAGAATTTTCCTTTGCATTAGAACTGAAAAAAGGAAAGGTATGTGATTTGGCAATAGTTACAAGTAAACTGTGCTGACAGTAGGAATTGGTTTGTGTCTCACTCAGCCCATTTCTTAACGGGAGAAAAAAAATAAGTTTACTGCTTATATACAATATCTTACAGATTTATTAGAGATCTTACTGTCAAAAGAAGGATGTTATAACCATTACAGGCATTTCTTTCTGCATACAGTCAGACACAGCATAAAATCCAAGCAACATTTTTAAAAAGTTTGCAACAAGTTATTTTCCCAGGATTATAAAACAAGATAGTTGTAGGATTTGTGTTAAGACACTGATTCAGAGCAGAAGATTTTCACTGGGGAATGCAGACCACGAAGATTCCTTGGTAGTCTAGACATGACCTATCCCACCAGCCTGATTTTTCCTAACACCTTCCCTTGCTGTACAATCACTGCTGCTGTCCCAATGCAAATCCAAATTACTTCAATTATATTTTCTTGTTATCCTTATAGACTAAGGTTCTTTGATACAGTGATTGGTGCAATGTAAGGTTCCCAAAAGTCATGAACAATTCATCTAGAGTAAAAGACCACCGTACTTTCCGGGGAGGGGGGGGAGGGTGTATTTGAGATTCTTAAAAAACAGAACAACACAGAAGTCAAGTTTCCATATCCCTAATGCTCCCTGTGCTTTGCATCAGATAGATCTCTCCTCTTGGATCACTTATTAGACAGGAGAGGTGCAACAGTAGGTGAACAAAACTGAATGAGGGCACCTGTACTTTTATTCTGGCCAATAAAAAAGAAATCTAAATACTCTCCTCTCCTGATAAGAAACCCACAGCAAAGAGTGGAATGCTTCTAGGATACTGCCAGTCTGCAGGTCAATGAATGACTTTAACAATACCTTCAAGTACTGTTGCAAAGCAGTGCGGCCATGTGACACGACTGCATTACTTAGTGATGGATATTCTGATCCTAATTACTGTTGTAACTCAAGGAGTGCCTGTAAATTCAGGACAGATCTTCACCCACATAGTCAGCTATACAATAGCTGATCTCTAGAACCAAATTTCCTATCAGTCCCAGCTACCTTCTCAGTATGATCAGCAATAGTGAGGTTTTTCTCTCTCAAAATATGCATTTTTCAACAATGATTTCTTCTGTTCTGATGAGGTAAGATATTACCATTGCAAGCTTATGCACTCTGTCAACTTGCTTAGTTAAATTGTTAGTTTGCTGCCTGATAATTTATATATCACTAAATAGAAAATACAGCAAACACTGCAGTAAACATACATACGTCCAAGACAATGCCATATGTTTTTACATGTCTTGCCTGCCTTTTTGCTCTCAACTTTACTAGTCAAGATAAGAAATATATCAACAAAGATATGTAAGAACATTTAATTTAACTTTCACCTGGAAGAAAAGCTTATTTGCTTTCTTAGCAATAACAAGAGTAAAACTCACAACAGGGCTGTTTGTGTCTTCAAACCCAGAAAATATAAGTATCTGAGTGCTACAGATTTTCACATCTACTTGCATGATTCAAACCCAAGAACTGTGCAAAACATTTTAAGCTCAAAATACCCTGTTTCGAATGGAAAGCAACATTCCTTGAAGTATTCCAAGCTCAAAAGACTTGCAGGATAATCAGAATATCAACAGATGCCTGCAATAAGATTGGAATAAGCTGCTTTGAGCTCAGAAGCATTTTAAATCCAGAACATTTTGCACATCCAGTGGAATTTGTATCTTCAATTAGCTAAATTTTCTTAAACTGCCACTGCAGGAGAAACCCCATTCTTCAGTCATTGCGCTGGTTTCCACTAGACTTCCCAGTTCAATTCAAAATGCCGGTTTTGAAAATGCCTGATCTTATACAATACGTTGCTGGGTTTTCTTAGGAGCTAAACCCTGGTAAGTCATCTAGAAAAACTATTCTGGGTCTTGCCCCTCTTTCCCATGAAAAGGATATAAAAACAAGTAAAAACGAATGGCTATGGACCAAAGAATTAGAATAATGTGTAAAAAGGGATCCACTATAAATGTATAGGAAATGCTTCCAAATTGGATGTGATATCTCACCAAAAATGGTTTTTTTTAAAAAAAAAAGTTTCATATGTAAATCTCCCAAAATGAGGTTGTCTATAGCTTTGATGTAAAAGATGAGTCCTAAACATCCTAGGGATTGGCAGGTGAGAAGGAGATGTCCAGGCATAAGGAAGAGCAAGGGAAAACTATTTGCGCTATTTAAGACTTAAGGCACTAGAGCTAGAGAAACAATGGACATTGCAAATGAAATTTTTAAGAATATTATTTTTTATTGGCATAGTTTATTTCTTTTAGAATTCAATAACCTACAAACTACAGCAAGAGCATTCAATAACCTACAAACTACAGCAAGAGCATTATATTTTTAAAATTAAAAAAAAAGCCGGGAGAAACCTTAAGCACAAACGCACATTTTGTGAAAAGGACAAAAATGTTATTTCCAGCCCAGAAAGAACGGGTAATTATTTATATAAAAGAACTTGCCAATTGTTTTTGTCAGGGATTACTTGATTAGATATTGCCTAAAGACATTATTCACTAGAAGAAAATACACTACGGAACATTTGCAATATTTGTTAGAATAGTTCTTGTCCAAGACTTTTCTTTGAACAACATCCCACAGTGCCCCTTGTAATAAGGTTTTGAAGATATATATAAAAAAATGATAGTGCTGAAAATTTCCATGTTATTTTAGGGAATGTGAAGTGCTTCACATGGGATCCTGCTGTAATTTTTATAACAATAGCCTGATACAACCTGGCTCCTTCCCAATATGTTGGGATTATAACTCCCAGAATTTCCAACAAACATAGTATTTGGTTACAATCCTTCACAATTTTGTGCTACAGAACTTGCCTCGGGCACTTCACATTAACAGGGAACATTGGAACTTGGAAAATAAATTGCAGGGAGGTTAAGAAGAAGGTCAGATGAAGATTGGGAGTAATAATTGGAGAACATGGTGTTGGAAGAAATGTCCATCTGGGTTCAGGTCCAAGTGGGAAGAAAGACACTGGAAACATGGTGACTGCTTAGAAAGATGGTTTAATGGTGGACCGAACCACATGGGTCCTGGGCAAAAAAGGGAAGAGATGCTGAGAGTCCCTGGGTTTTATGCCTTCTTCGGGCTTTGAACTTCACAGGAAGTTCAAAGGCACAGGAAGAGTATCCTGAATGGTTGCTGTGAGAGGTCATAGCTAGCTTTGTAGGTTGTCTGTGTGCTAAGTTTGGTTGAATCTTGCTGGGTGATGCAAGAAGGGCAATTAAATGGCACTGAATCTTTGTTATGTAGAAAAGATTGGCCCAGGCCTTAATGGCTCATTAACAAAGTTGCGGGGCTGAGTTTCTGCCTCCCTTTGAGGGGAAATATTCTGCCTTTTGAGTATTTCCTAAAATATTTCATTTTTCTAGGAGTGGGATGGGTTTTAACTTCCTACAATGGCACATTCATATCTGCATTATAAGGGAAAACCAAGGATTAGCTTTAAGGAATTACTGCGTAAATATAAACCATGTTTGTAGGTATATATTTAATTTCTATTACCCATTTCTACTCTGGTGAACACTCCTGGGAGATAAAAAAAATGTTCTTTGTGTATATAACAAATTTACTGACTGGATTCGGTGATCGAAAATCTAGGAAAGTCTTATTTTAAAGATTTGAATTTCTTAAAACAAACGGAAAACCATTTATTCTCTATGAAACTTTAAAAGCTTCTTTAATTCATTTCACTTTCTTTCTTTTGTAAAATAATGGACTGAACATGCCATATACATAATTATACGAATTCAAGACATAAAGCATATGAAAACGCCAGAATCAAACTTTATCAAAAAAAAGAATGTCAAAGGAAAAGCAGTGTTTGCAAAATTAACAATCTTCTTGGGTACAATACCAGTTGAACAGTTACCATAGAACAGACTCTTATCTAAATATATGTTTCTACTCTGCCATTGTTTTATCCAATTTATCATTTTCCTCCAGTTTATAGAACTGGGAGAACGAGGCAAGTGGGAAGAAACTTTTATTTCAAGCAATATTTTTTGTACCATACAAAACATTCTGACACTATTAGGTAGCTTCTATTCTGCTGAGACCTGAGCTCAACAAAACAACAAGAGTAAAAGGCAAAAGCAAAATATTAGATAAAAATGTACTCACCGGCATTGGTGCCTCTACAGTTCCCATTATTAGAATCCATAGGGAAATCTGGCATGAATTGTTAAATATGTAAACAAGTGTTAGTATAGTTTCATACTAGATTTTTCAACACAGCCACAACAAAACACTTTAATTTTTCATCCATTAAAAAAGATTTCCCCAATTTGGTATCCTTGGAAGAGTTGGCCTGAAATCTCAAAATCCCCATTATAATATAAATACTGTAAGTTCTGGCACTTAAAATCATGGAATGAGGAAGACTGTGTTATTAGTAAGTGGAACTAAGATTATATTTGCTTTTTCAAAAATCAGGGAGAGCTTTCGCTCAGAGGCCAAGAATAAAAGTCCAACTTCCTATGATAAAAAGGTAGTCCTCAATTTATGGCCAGTTGCTCAGCAGCTGTTCAAAGTTACAACCAAACCAAAAAGAGAACAAACGACCTGGATCCAAAGTTCTAAAAGTCACACTCCTTTGGTGGTCCTGCATTTATAGCCATTTGCAAAATCCTGTAATCACGTAATTAAGTTTATAACATTTTGCCAAAACTGGGACTTCTGTTTTTGGCAAAACTATGTCCATCAGTTCGCTTAATGACTGCAGCATTCAGTTAATGACCACATAAAATGTCACAATACAGATAGTCCTCAACTTACCACAGTTTGTTTAGTGACTGTCCAAAGTTACAACAGCACTGAAAAATGTGACATGACAGTTTTTCACAGTTACCACCTGTGTAGCATCCTCATGATCATGGGATCAAAGTTCAGATGCTTGGCAACTGGTTCATATTTATGACTGTTGCTTATGTCCTGGGGTCATGCAATCTCCTTTTGCGACCTCCTGACAAGCAAAGTTCATGCGGAAGCCAGATTCACTTAATAACCAAGTTACTAACTTATCAATTGCAGTGATTCACTTAACAACTGTGGCAAGAAAGATTGTAAAATGGGGCAAGATTAACTAAACAAATGTCTCACTTAACAACAGAGATCTTAGGCTCAATTGTGGTCATAAATTGAGGACTACCTGTATTTTATGACTGCCATGACATATAATGGTAATATCAAGCTGTATTACAGTCGTATGTCAAGGACTACCTGTATACTCAGAACACTTTTTACTGCCACTGTGATAATGAAAAAGCTGGCCTAGAGAACATAAGAACTGCCCACAATATTAAAATAAAGACATTAATCTACATTTGTTGTTACTACTGCTAATCAACGTACAATATCCTTGTCTTTAAAGATCACCCCTAAAAATGCTTTAGATCAGGGGTATCAAACTCAATTTCACTGAGGGCTGCATTAGGGTTGTGTTTGACCAGGGGGTGGGGGGCAGGTGGGCATGTCCAGGGTGAGTGTGGCCAGCTCAAGGTCACTTGTGTCAAAGGCCTCACCAAGCTCCATTTTCACTGGCAGAGGCTCCGCAGGCCAGCCCTTCGCTGTTTCCAGCAAGCCCCTGTGGGCCAGATCTATGCATCCCATGGGCCAGATCAGGCCCGTGGGCCTTGAGTTTGACACCCCAGCTTTAGATCAATATTTTCATACACTGAAAGACCAAGAATACATGATCTTTAAATATAGGCAATCTATTTAAAGAATGAGCCTGGAGCCCCATTTACAATCTTTGTATCTTTACAATCTTTGTATCTATTTCACCTCTGTATTTGTATCTATTTCACCTCTGAACTTTAATAGCGATTCATTAAACAGTAACTAGAGCTATTCTTGTAAACTAGGGCCTGAAGCAAAAAAAACCATGAAAAAATATATCCAAAATGTTCTTAACATTAATTCAACAATGCCTGCCTTATTAAAACAGGCCACAATTTGATCAAGACAAGCTTTATTAATTAAATGATCATTAAGTCTTTCAGCTATATCAAATTATTAAATAAATACTGGATATCTTTCATAAGGCAGAATGATATGAAAGGACAGAAGAGAAAATGGAAATTTCCAATTTCTTCCAGAAGTCTTTTTGAATGTATCCTGCCATGGAAATGTGCCTGTCAACTTAATGCATTGCCTATTTATAAAAGAAACATTGTTCATGTCAATAACATCCAGCCTGCAGTTTTCCAAAGATGTAAAGTTTATAGTTTGTCCCAGAATCTTTTCCAACAGGATCAGTGGTCATGCTGGGCATTAATTAGGGTGGCTATTAATTCATTAGAAATGTAGTCTCCATAATTACAATGGTATTTTCTTGGAAACTGCTAAACTGTGGTATTTCAGGGTTCTTTCTCCACCTTGTCTAGACAAATTCACTCAATATGTTTTGGACTAAACTCCCATCACACCCAAATGGCCATGCTTGATAATATGGGAGCTGTAATTCATGCATCTGGAGACCTTCAGATAAATTAAAGCAATATTAAAACAATAAGACAGACTAACACCCCTAAAGTATAAGAGCCATGGTGACGCAGTGGTTAGAATGCAGCATTGCAGCCTACTTCTGCTGACTGATGACTGTTTGGCAGTTCGATTCTCACCGGCTTAAGGTTGACTCAGCCTTCCATCCTTCCGAAGTCAGTAAGATGAGGACCCAGATTGTTGGGAGCAAGATGCTGACTCTGTAAACTGCTTAGAGAGGGCTGTAAAGCACTGTGAAGTAGTATATAAGTCTAAGTGTTAATTACTATTGCTATTCACTGAGCAAATATCAAGAACGCACTACTAATGTTACATATTCATGCTTGGGATTTTATTTTATTTATTGATCAAATCTATACAGTACCTGACTTGCAAGACTCTGGCATGTAAAGACTTTGGCATCAGTATGGAAGATGTAACTGCCTGCAGCTTGAAAATCAATTTGCTGCAGAATCAGATTCCTTCTGGCAAAGAAACAGGGGTGTCTTTTCAAACGGGGAAATGGCTTCAGATGAAACAAACAGAACTTCAGTGGGAATTCATATCTTGTCTCTACATTCTAGCCACAATCTTTAAACTGCATTTACAGACCACTTCCTGCCAATAAAATATGGAAGAGCCATATATCATCCCTACCTTACTGTGTTTCTTTTTATTATCTATCCCTGTCCCAGCACAGCAAAAAGGGGCCAAGTTGAAGAAGGCTGTGCCAAAGTACAGTATATATCTCTTCTCAGAACGTTGGACACAATTTATTCTTAAATGTAGAAGATTTTGTTTTCTTCATTTATTTCTGTTATGTTCTGGTCATCCGTTCCAGTTATTTGTCCGTTGTTTAAGTTCATGGGCGTCTCAACATCTGTGAGCCTTAACGATTTGGTGGTTTTCCACATTATTAAGTTGCTTTTGTTGGATGGTGCTAAGACAGGATTATCTCTATTGGACAATATTGCTTATACTTGCAGCACAGCTAAAATTGTAGCATGGCTCCCTAACTCCCACTAAGAGATTAAAAAAAATAGAATCCACAAAACACATTGTATGTTTTGTTTTGATTTTTGCCAAAAGTAGACTGCAGATAGCAAGAATGTGACACCCTCTGTCTGGTCTTTCTGTTGACGCAAGACTTCCACCATTCAGAGCACTGACCTTGGAAGGATGGAAGGCCAAGTCAACCTTGAGCTGATGAGAATCAAATTCCAGGCTGTGGGCAGAGTTTAGCCTGCAATACTGCATTCTAACCACCATGCCACCACAGCTCTTACACAACCACAATTGGGACCAGAAAAGTGGTTGTTAAGTGAGTTAACAAAGTTATGATTTTTGCCATAATTGAATTACATCGTTAAATGAATCAAATATGATTGTTTATCTGGGTTCCCCAATTGACTTTGCTGGTCAGAATCCAGTTGGGAAGGTTGCAAATGGCAATCAAATGCCCTTGGGATGCTGCAATCATTGTAAATAAATGCTGGTTGCCAAGCAATGATTGTAGGGCTATTGTAACTTCAAATGGTCGCTAAACGAATAGTGTAAGTCAAGGATTACTTGTATTAGGAGGACCCACCTTTTCTGAAGTACCCTTCATTTGCCCTTCATCTGTCCTTATGTAGAATGCATTCAGTTCTAAGGCCATGATGTGACTTTTATGATTTTCTCAGCAAAACACAGCCAAAATAAAACCTGGCTTCCCATTCATTATGTGAGAATGCAGCCAGTTTGCTCCACCTCAGATAATTGTACCAGCACATGGCTAAACAGGCTTTTATGATGGGCTGAGAAACAAACCCAAATTTATTTCTTCTGTTATACATTTATGCTTTAGCAGCATATTTGCTATTCTTTGTTGCACAATCAGCCAGCTGCTTAGACTGCATTTTGCATTTTTGTCCATTTAATTGAGTCCTTCCCAAGGACTGGAATAGGCAGATGTCGTTTGATGGAGTTAAAGGTACCATCGCAGGATATAAGCTTTTCCAAGTAAAGCTGCTTCTTGCAATTGACTGATGGTGATTTTTGACAATGCCACAGTGTTCAAGTGATGCTCCAGATGATTTGGGGTTGTGCCTAAGGTGCCTATCACCTTTGGTTCTCTCTTTGCTTTCTTTTGAAACAGTCGTTCTATTTCTATTCACAAGTGTTTGTATTTTGTGATTTTTATCCCTCTCCGGGTTTTCTTCTTCTATTTTGTTGTCTCCAGGTACTGTATTTTCCTCTGTTCTTTTTTAAAAATCTTACTTATTGACAGTTGTTAAATCTGGGGTGTTGTGTGGCTGGTGCTTGTCTGTTTGAATTCTAAAGTCCCAGAACATTTGAGCTTCATTTTGTATTACATTATCTTTGTTGTGGTCCCCTCAGTTCTTGCTTGCAGGCAAGTGGTGTTTCTTGCAGATTTTCCAATACACCATTTGTTGCTATTTTGTCATGCCATTGTTTGTAATTAGTCTGTGCAATCTTCTTGCTGAAGCTAACTAGGTAGTCCGCTTTTCTTTAGCTTCTTTGCATAGGCGGCACTTGCTATCTGTTGCCATCTTATCGATTCTGGCTTTGTATGTATTTGTTAATAAGGCTTGGTCTTATGCAGCCATAATTAGCCCCTCTATGTCTTTCTTCAACTTCCCTGCTCTTAGCCATTGTCAAGTCTTATTATGAATTGCTTTGCCTGC